AGCAACCATAGGCCTATGATCCAGCATCCATGTGAATTAGGTAGAAAGCAGGAAGACATTTCAGATTTATTTGTGATTCAAAGGACTAATCTTAAACAGGACACTCTTAAGACTCTAAAACCTGAATCCTTCAATCAACAACAAGTTTCTCATGTCAATTCTGGTGTTAAGGATCCTTCTCTCTTGTTATAAACCTCTTGATTTAAGGAAAAAGTCAAAATAAATTAAATTCTCATTTTAAAAAATACTTTTATTACGGAAAAATAGTCAAGTTTTACTAAGGTTTGATTGTATCTACTGAGTTATTTTCGGCTTATACTATTTTGCGAAACGAAACGAAACGAAACGAAACGAAACGAAACGAAACGAAACGAAACGAAACGAAACGAAACGAAATCGGGTCAGATGAAATAAAACAAAAGGAATAATGCAGATATATTTTCAAATAAGGTAAAGATAACTTTCACAAGGATTTTGGAGTAATCATTCATTAACAAGAAGGATTTTTATTCATTTCGCAAAATAGTAATTTTAGGAGAGTTACTATTTTGCGAAATGGACTATTTTCACTCTGCGGTGACAACGTGACCTCTTTCATGTCGCGAAAATACATTTAAACATTACAAATTAGTATATAACCGAACATTTTGGCCTCCTCTTATTTCTTAAACCGTATTAAAATATATTTCGCAAAATAGTAATTTTAGGAGAGTTACTATTTTGCGAAATGGACCATTTTCACCCCTGCGATGACAACGTGACCTCTTTCATGTCACAAAAATACATTTAAACATTACAAATTAGTATATCACCGAACATTTTGGCCTCCTCTTATTTCTTAAACCGTATTAAAATGTATTTCGCAAAATAGTAATTTTAGGAGAGTTACTATTTTGCGAAATGGACAATTTTCACCCTGCGGTAACAACGTGACCTCTTTCATGTCATAAAAATTCATTTAAACATTACAAATTAGTATATCACCGAACATTTTGGCCTCCTGTTATTTCTTAAACCGTATTAAAATGTATTTCGCAAAATAGTAATTTTAGGAGAGTTACTATTTTGCGAAATGGACTATTTTCACCCCTGCGGTGACAACGTGACCTCTTTCATGTCACAAAAATACATTTAAACATTACAGATTAGTATATCACCGTACATTTTGGCCTCCTCTTATTTCCTAAACCGTATTAAAATATATTTCGCAAAATAGTAATTTTAGGAGAGTTACTATTTTGCGAAATGGACCATTTTCACCCCTGCGATGACAACGTGACCTCTTTCATGTCCCAAAAGTACATTTAAACATTACAAATTAGTATATCACCGAACATTTTGGCCTCCTCTTATTTCTTAAACCGTATTAAAATGTATTTCGCAAAATAGTTATTTTAGGAGAGTTACTATTTTGCGAAATGGACAATTTTCACCTTGCGGTAACAACGTGACCTCTTTCATGTCATAAAAATTCATTTAAACATTACAAATTTGTATATCACCGTACATTTTGGCCTCCTGTTATTTCTTAAACCGTATTAAAATGTATTTCGCAAAATAGTAATTTTAGGAGAGTTACTATTTTGCGAAATGGACTATTTTCACCCCTGCGGTGACAACGTGACCTCTTTCACGTCACGAAAATACATTTAAACATTACATTATAGTATATTCTCAAAGATCTCGGTCACCTCCTCTTTAATGTAGTAATTTCTAAACTAATTGAATGTAGTAATTCCGAAAAATGTTTATTTTGCGAAATGGATTATTTACTCTCGGCGGGCGGCAACGATGTTGCCATTCTCGTGTCACACAATATGTATTTGGTTGATGCAGTAAGATTTTGTCCTCTTCTTATTTCATAAACCGTATTTAAATACATTTTGCAAAATAGTAGTTTTTGGCAGGCATACCATTTTGCGAAACGAAATATTTTTATCCTTCAATGACAAAAATGTCTTTCTTTTCGGGTCAAAAAATTTACTTTTAAACATTACATTTTGGTGCACTCCCGATCTTGGTCACCTCTTTATTTCCTAAACCGTATAAAAATATATTTCTTTAAGTAGTAATTTTGGAAGAATTGCTACTCTACGAAATGAATTATTTTTACGCCATGATGAAAAATATTGCCATTCTATTGTCAACAGTACATATTTGATTACTTAAAAGATTTACATATGCTTTAAAAATTGCAAATTTACTGAAAACCCAAAACCTGAGAAAGTTTTAAATGCGATTGAAATACAGTAGAACCCCCCTAACTCGAACCCCCCGGTAACTCGAATGAGATCCAATTTCCCTTGGCCCAATTTTTCAGTCATTTACTATCAGCTAACTCGAACAATTTTTTGTCTCCTTAGGAAATTTGAGCTGGCTGAGTTCTACTGTAACGACTGAATAGACTAATGTAGAAACAAGAATTGAAATACTATTAATTTGTTGAATTAGGTCTTTGTGTAATTTTCGCCTATTTCAAACTTCAACATTGCAAGAAGCAAATCCTTGTGACCGTCTTTCAAACGCTGCTTTACACTGTTGGTGACAGTTATCAAGCCTCTCCAGAAATACGGGTGCCTTGGAAGGATACAGCTCTTATCAATGCAATAAAACCTCTTTGCCTTTTTTTTATGCGTTACGACCATTTCAACATTGCCGTTATCGTCTTTTTTAGGGTAGCGATAACGCTCCTCGTGAAGTAGAACAATGTCGTAGGGCGCTATCTGTACTCTCTTGGGGAACTCATTTGTGCAACCGGTGCATGTTCTTGCATTCGAGTAGTCATGAGTAAACACCACATAAAAGGGCTCGTCATTCTGGTAATACTCGATGTATCTCGTGGGCTCTGGCACCATAGCGTCATAAGGGTCTTCTTCTGACACGACTGGCACCTGGCTTACGTTATTTTTCCCTCTTCTTTGTTTTACTCGTTGATTCGGCTTTCCCCCAAGCTGTTTAGAGAGGTTTGCGCTGATGATTTTTCCCATTTTGTTAGAAGCTTTCTTGTAAGTGGTGATGAAACTTCGCAGCTTACCAATCTTCTCAGCGACAACAAGGACGTGAGAGCACAAACCACCACTATCACGGAAAGATTTGCAGGTCTTGTCGCACGATATCTTCTCTTTCTTTGTTTTTACTGTGTAACTGGTATCAAACTCAGTGACGCAGAAGTTTGTATTTGCAAGTTCTATGATCTTATAATGCGACAGTATGATTTCCGCCCTCCTCCATATATCTTTAAGCTCATAAGAAGGAAATTGTAATGAGAGCTGGCACTCGACAAGGCCTATGGACAATTTTCTAGTGATGGCCTCATCCCTCCTTCTGCTGGGAAGGATACAACCAAAGACTTTTTTTATTTTTGCGTCGCGTTGCTGGGATGTCATTTGTGCACCATAAGCGCCCTTACCAATGATTTCCTTGTTTGTCAAACACTTGAAATCATGAACTGGAAGACCTGAACAGTCGATGGTCTTGGGCTTAAGAACTGGAAATTTAAAAGCCATAATCTTGCCTGATTTAACAGCACACAAAGCGAGCACAAAGCAAACTTCTTGCAGCACGTGGAACTTGCGCAAATGCGAAACACGATCTCTTGCTCGTAAGGAAGAGGTGTGCGACGGGGGTGTAATCAGAAGCGCGTACGCGTAACTTTTCCATGTATATTATTTTTATTAAAAATTTTGAAGCAAAGGAACTGTATTACTCGCGATTATAAAACTGCTGGACGACTATTTCGGCATGGATATGCTTCTGTTCTCTATACGAGACGGAGAGTCTAAACATGTTTAGACGCCACTGGAAAACTGTCAAAACTGTCAAGATGTTCGGTGATATACTAATTTGTAATGTTTAAATGTATTTTTGTGACATGAAAGAGGTCACGTTGTCACCGCAGGGGTGAAATAGTCCATTTCGCAAAATAGTAACTCTCCTAAAATTACTATTTTGCGAAATATATTTTAATACGGTTTAAGAAATGAGAGAAGGCCAAAATGTTCGGTGATATACTAATTTGTAATGTTTAGATGTATTTTCGTGACGTGAAAGAGGTCACGTTGTCACCGCAGGGTGAAAATTGTCCATTTCGCAAAATAGTAACTCTCCTAAAATTACTATTTTGCGAAATACATTTTAATACGGTTTAAGAAATAAGAGGAGGCCAAAATCTTCGGTGATATACTTATTTGTAATGTTTAAATGTATTTTTGTGACATGAAAGAGGTCACGTTGTCACCGCAGGGGTGAAAATAGTCCATTTCGCAAAATAGTAACTCTCCTAAAATTACTATTTTGCGAAATACATTTTAATACGGTTTAAGAAATAACAGGAGGCCAAAATGTTCGGTGATATACTAATTTGTAATGTTTAAATGAATTTTTATGACATGAAAGAGGTCACGTTGTTACCGCAGGGTGAAAATTGTCCATTTCGCAAAATAGTAACTCTCCTAAAATTACTATTTTGCGAAATACATTTTAATACGGTTTAAGAAATAAGAGGAGGCCAAAATGTTCGGTGATATACTAATTTGTAATGTTTAAATGTATTTTTGTGACATGAAAGAGGTCACGTTGTCATTGCAGGGGTGAAAATGGTCCATTTCGCAAAATAGTAACTCTCCTAAAATTACTATTTTGCGAAATATATTTTAATACGGTTTAAGAAATAAGAGGAGGCCAAAATGTTCGGTGATATACTAATTTTTAATGTTTAAATGTATTTTCGCGACATGAAAGAGGTCACGTTGTCACCGCAGAGTGAAAATAGTCCATTTCGCAAAATAGTAACTCTCCTAAAATTACTATTTTGCGAAATGAATAAAAATCCTTCTTATTAATGAACGATTACTCCAAAATCCTTGTGAAAGTTATCTTTACCTTATTTGAAAATATATCTGCATTATTCCTTTTGTTTTATTTCATCTGACCCGATTTCGTTTCGTTTCGTTTCGTTTCGTTTCGTTTCGCAAAATAGTATAAGCCAGTTAAAACCAGCCTTCAGTCCCTCAGTCTGGGACTAGCAATTGTTATTTCTTTATGAAAGTTTAATAAGTTCTATGTAATGCATCAAAACAAACAAGAGAACAACTACAAATCAATACAGCCAACTTAAAGCGTTTTCAGAAAACTGCAGTTCACTGGTATTTTCTTTGCTTTGAGTTACAAAGGTGCTAAACAGTAGGAAACCTCTGGCTTTCAAACTTTAAGGCAATATCCAAGCTTTGATTGAAATCATTCTCTGGGGGAATGAATTTTTGGGAGCTGTAACATCGCCAGGTGTACAGTTGCTTATGGCATGGAAGCTTTCTCATCATCATCAGGAATATATCTTAGCACAATGTTGTGAGGGAGACCATAAGGTGGAATTGATTGAAAGCCAGTAATGAACTGCAGCAGACATACGAGTGTCTCCTCACCAGCATTACATAATCCATGGACCAGTCATAGGAATGTAGCTGGGAAAAGTCAGAGGGCCTTTGTACACTGGCATCAAAGAGATTATTAAATTCATTAGGAGTGAGGGTTTGCTCAATAGAATTACAAAGCAGCTTAAAGCACACTTCCTTGTTGTTCTTTGTGGCATCTAGGAACTCCAAATTTTTGAGACCTTCAGCGAATGAGTCTATCTCAAACTTCCTGAACGAAATTATTTCAGTCACCAGTAGGTTTTGTACAAGATGTGCCACATTCTTATCTGTTATCTTCTTGGTTATTGGCCAGTGAGAGGCATTTATCGCTGACCAGAAGGACTCAGAGGAAGGATGGTTGTGAAGGACTTTAGAAACATCTCCCTCCTGCAACTTATCCAGCAATTCATGCAAAACAGCAGTTTCTTCAATTAAGGAGAAAAAAAAAATTAAAACCTATCAGAAATGTTCCATTGTCACTTTATATGCCATATGGATCAACCCTTTAACTCCCAAGATCTCATTAGTAATTCTCCTTACTGTCTGCCATATAGTTCTTGTGATGTTAGTTTGGAGAATTTGGTATAGGACCACATAATAATCCCCTAATTAAGATTTTTCTTTATTCTCGTCACTTGTCTGTTTGATACTGTATTGATATTGTAAGGAGAAATTCTGTCTTGGTCACTCATGGGAGCTAAAGGGTTAAGAGAGGAAATAATTCACTTGCCCTTTGATTCTGTTAATGTCAAAGCTCTATTAGGAAATGACCATTATTTTTGAGAAAGGGTGGGGGGAGGTTGGGCAATTGTTTTGTTGTTGTGGTAATTGCCCAACCCTCCCCTCAAAAAATAATAGTCCATCCCTAAGCCCTGTCTCTAACAAGCTCCTTGTTTGGAAGTATAATTTTTTTAATAACCCCCCTCTCTGTAAACCTGCCTCTTCCCTATAAAAAGTGTACAAAATTAACTACATTCCAATGTTTTTGTGACCATAAATGTAACAAAAACTGTAAGTACACTAAAGTACCTGCATGTACCTTTGAACAACAATTTCTATCTGGTGTTTGGGGGAATCTGGAAACATTTCAGACAGTTGATCCACCCACAACCTTGTTTCTGTCTGTGTAACATATCTGAGAGGAGAAATCTGTCACTCCTGGGCTGCTTTTCCCCCTGTATTTCGCAGAGATTTAGGTAAGAAACCTCGGGAAGGGTGATGGCGTTCTTAACGATCACATATCAACATTTTCTCTTCGTCAACCACAGTCACACTATCAAATACATCCTTCTCTCCAGCTCTGTGACCAAAGTTTCACCGTTTTGCAACATGCACTGGCATTTGAACTTCTAAATTTTAAAACAACAACTGAAAAAATTATGAAAAAACTAAGAGGGTTTTTCATACTTTTGTGCTCTTTTGTCTTTGAGACTTTTCTTCCGTCAGTCCTTGTTGCTGCAAAAAAAAATATATATATATATATATGTAAATATGTATACTTTATGATCATTTAAAGAAGAGTCTACTTCCAGCTGCTCAACCAACAGAATCACAAGGTAGTGATAAAAATGCAAAACCCACTGGTAATTGACATGCACAGGTCAAACTTCCATCAAACAATCTACATTGGACGCCCTCCATGCCTAACTAGAGTATATACACACTGGAAAACGGAATCTAGTTATTTATCTATTTTCATAACTTTTCTGGCTTTCTACATCCACTTTCTAATAGCAAACTATTCTTAATAAATTAAAACATGAGGTTTCCATCCTCCATGATTCAGTGCAATATATGGATTTTTACCTGTAACTTTGGAAGACATCAGATTCTGCACTTCCTATAAACAGACAACAAAAATATTATTAGGTCAAAAAAAGTAACATGATGGTGGCATACTGCCATAGATCTGAAATAACACTGCACATCATTCATGTAGATTTGGACATCAAGAATAGTGACAATAAATTCATGTTGATAAGTCCTCACTATAAATTTATAAAAAATGTTTTCTTCCCCTTTTTTCCATAATACTAAAGATGCGAGTTTTTTTGCAGGATATGACTAAAGTAAAAGGGAAGAGAGGAGAGAACAGGAAACATCTTATATGGCTGACTACGATAACAAAAAATACCTCTTGTTTCTCTTAAGCATCACTCACTATTATTGCATCTGAGAAAGTTCAAATGCTTCTTTAAATGCATTCTTTTTGATAGTTTTTTACTCCAAATAAATCACTGTCTAGAAGACACATAAAAAATTGAACTTTGACACAGTTGAAGATAGATTTTCATGTAGTCTCGTGTTGGTTACTACTTGGAATCTCACGACAAGTTCAGAGTCTTTATTTTATTAATTCTTGGAAATGGTTTTTGAAGGATACTCATCCTGTAAAAACAAGGATCCAGAAATGTCAATTTAGGTTGATACTAAAGGGTGTTCAATGTAGTATTACTACTTTTAACCTACCAATTGGCTTAGGAACAGCAAGAACTTGACTTCAATCAAATAGCAGATTATTCAGGGACCACACAACTGGATGAGTGGGCTGAGATAACTACCAAAGCACATGTGTCATGTCGCATGGCAAAACGGCTGATAACAAACATATTGAGATTGGAATAAATAGACCACCCCACTTTAACGTACCTGTATACAGAAACATCCTTATGGCTTATCCTTAACTGTTTGTCAGAAAATAATTGATACCATTATTGTGCAATTGAAGCCAAAGCCTAACCCTAAGCATATGTAACCATGCCATAAATAGAAAAAATAAAGCAAATATAACCATAACAGTGCTTTCAATAACATTCGAGGAAGGGGGCTACCTCGGTAAAGCACCTGTGTGAGAATAGTAGGAAAAACAATTTCCCTCTTGTTATCCCATTACTTCCATTCAGAATAAACTCACTCTTAAAAGAGTTTTCAGTGCTGAGTCCAGCATACACCTCACTTGTTATAAGGCCTGGCACCTCTGATGCTAAAATAACAGCTGGCAACAACTTTGTATGATTTGCAGAAACAGTTTAGTTTTAGTTTCATTGAAATAATTACCATTGAATTTTTAGACTGAACATTTTCCTAGGTTGACATTTGCCATTTGAAACTCATTTTTCTTGGAGACAACTGTACATTTTCACGCCCAAAATTGAAGAAGACCTCATAATTTCTAAATAAAAAGGGTAAATGGTCACATAAAAATGAAACACTCCTTTTCCACTAATAACAGTAAACTATTCACGATTTCTGTACTCCCTCTGGTGAACTCTTTAATAAAAGAAGACCATAACTTTTGGCCTTATTACCAGCACTGTAAACACAATGATTTACTCACCCTGGCCAAGTTTTCAGTGGTTCATAAAGTATTAACAGGGTAGGTTCATAGTAACCCTAAAGAAACTGAATATCTATAATGTTGCACAACTTTTCACAAATGTCTTTGAGGTTGATGGTGTAACTTGGTAACATGGGAGATCGATCACCACTAAAACAGAACATAACGAAAACAAAAATTTTGCAGGTCAGAATTTTAGTAGATTCTCCTCAATCTACAGAAATCAGTTCCCACAGAGAAGTACATGAAACACAACACCACCTTCAATGGCAAAAATTAGTTCCCAGCAGAAATTTCAGACATCCTGACCCCTAAAAAGTGTTTCCACAAAACACAAACAATTCCTAATTGCCAATTTGATGATAAAACTCCTTAAAAAAACTCTGATATTAGACCATACACAATCGCCATTGCTCATAAGGTACAAATTTAATCAAATAAACATGTACCCTGTAATAACTGTGAAAGCTAAATCAAGAAGAAACTCAATCTATGGCTTCAAAAGTGTGGCCATCACTTAAACTTGTTTACCTCACCACTGCATATTTTGTGTCTCAAGAAATGATTGCAAAATTAACAAATGAGTGACTGTTCTGAACTGAAAGTTATTACTTTTGATGTTAGTTTTTTGCCCTGCAATGGGGTCATTATTGAAAGAGAACTTGGAACGATTAATGTTATGCTTACTGATTGCACATTGTTGTTGTTTTTTATTTCTTGTTGCCAAAAGTTGTTGATTTTCAGGGACATCATCACATTGCTTACCTGGCAATGACCAAAATTTAATTATACTTTACAGATCTATACACCCATTGACATGTCTTCAGAGCAAGTTCTGTGATGCTTTTTGGGTATATTGATACAAAAATCAGGTCATTTATGCACATATATCATACCTTGCTGTAAAAGTTCCTTCCTGCTCATGTTCCTCTAATGCTCCTTCTTGTCTAAACAGTAAAACCACAATATGTGTGCCATAGATAAGCATCACTGCACAGTGTCAATCAGGATCCACACACCAAAGGAGGCCAAAAATACTCTTGATTACAACTCTGTAGTGTGATACAAGGAATAAAAAATGACTGTAAAATTGGGAAAGTACCATCCATCATAAATTATTATTGATCATGTGAATATAAATTCACATTGCCATTTACAGAGGAGGAATATCAGGAATGGTTAACATACACAACAACATAAGCTCCAGCCATATGAGTCTCTTGGCTCTAGTACACACTTTACTTAACAATAGCTTTTATTTGAATTATAACCATTCTTGCTATGAAGACAACATTTTGTGATCAATTTAAAATTTTGGCTAGCATTGTAAGAGGTTTTACCAAAAAATTCTACTATCTTGCTTATTTTGTTGTCTTCAAAGAAATGCAAACTTTTTGTCTTCTGATCATGAGTGCCTGGATCATAATCCACCACAGCAAACTGCACACATAATAAAATGACACTTATCAAGGAACACTTCAAAGAATCCAAATTTAAACATTTGGACATCATGTTAGATATCAAGGCTAATGTGTGCACCTTGACTTAAAGTTTTCTTTTTTACCTCAGTCTACTAAAATCAATGGCAAAGAAGTAAAAGTGGAACAAACAATGACATAAAATGGAAAATCTTTCTCATCTGATACATTTCATTTAAAATGCTTCATGAACAATGTAATTTAATACAGGTCTTGTTAATATCTTAGGATTTAATGGGTGACAATTGAATCTTTTGGAAATATTAGTTTATTGTTACATGCCTATTAAGGTTTCTCTTGCCAATTAATTAAATTCTCAGTGGCTGATTACAAATCAATTAGTTATTAATTTATTTAAAAGAACATTTTATCAAAATTAATGTTGACCCTTATGTAAACTTAAGCTCCACTACATGATGTAAATAACATTCTAAATTGTAGAACATTTCTCCTTTAGATATGAATTGTTCATTATTCAAAAGTGACAGAATCTATGTTAACCCTTGAACTCCCAAGATCTCATTAGTAATTCTCCTTACTGTCTGCCAAATGATTCTCATTATGTTAGTTTGAAGAATTTGGTACTGGATCAATTAGTAATCCCATCATTGATATTTTTCTTTATTCTCATCACTTGTCTGCATGATATTGTATTGATATAGTAAGGAGAAATTCTGTCTTGGTCACCCACAGGGGTTAAAGGGTTAATCAACTCAAAAGGCTTATTCTTCATTTGTGTAAACCCCCACAAAAAAAACATTCATTGATTTTATTTAATACAAACTGAATATTTAATTGCTTAAACTTCAAGAAGAGAATACCTTGGCGCCCTTAAAGCTCAATAGCAGTGAGTCCCTTGAGTTTCCAGCTGACCTAACAGCTTTAAGACATTCTATGTTGCCAAACAAAGAATACTGACTGACAAGCTCCAACTTCCTCCTCTTTGTACTACCATCTAAGTAAAGTAAACCACAGGTGACCCAATCTTGCAAAGTGAAACTCTTGTATATGAGCAATTCAATTGACCATTATATTGAAAGGTGGACATGTCTTAAAATGTTGGTAACCATCAACAAGTAAACCGATATTTACAATCTCCCGAGGGGCTAATCCCCTCCCCCCCCAGAAAAAGAAAAAAAATTAAAAATTAAAATTAAACTAGCTGGAAGTAATAACATGGAAGATTGAGAACATCTCTTTCTCTATAGCATGTCAGATATTGGTCATTTTTGTTGGGGATCAAATTTGCTGCAATCAGTGTTTGAAATCACCAAGTGTGCCAGCTTAAGTTACAAGAAATATTCATCATATTCCTCTCTATATTTGAGCAACTTTCTACTTTCCAAATCTGGTGCTTTTCTTTGAAGCTGGAATCTGATTTAAATGTTGGTTACAAGTTAACTTATGAAAGCTTGTTACAAATACATCTTACACTTGATAACCCAAATAAATACTGATACCTTAAGTAAATACTGACCTCCTGTCTTGTCTGATGATGTTGATCCTGTTAAATTATGCTAAAATGAAGACATCATAGATAAAAAAGTTTAATGACAATTAATTGCCAAAGGCCATGTGAACATTACTAAATAGTTAAACAGAAGGTAGAGACCCAAGGCACTGATACCAAAGCATATAAATAAAGCGTGAGAAAACAGCCATTCCATTTACCAACAATAGTCAATTCCCTTTGCCAGCCCCTCAGCCGCCATATTGTTTGTTTACCTTCGATCATTTTGTTTTGAAATTTGATATCAATATTTTGATTTGACCTCCTCAACAATATATCCTTTTCTGGGTACCAACTAGACAGCCTGAGGAGACCTTTAACCACCAGGAAAAAAAGAGACGTTAGAAATAGTTTAACTGCCTAAGGAATTTCGCTTTCAGATAGTAGTGTATCTATGTCTACACCTGATAATAGAGCAAGATATTTTCAATAATACAAAAACTTAAGTCCCCGTTTCTTACCTCGTCTTGGGTATAAAACTTGTAGATACGAAGCTGTGATGTCCCCGCCACAACAAGATCGTTTTTTAGCTGGCGAAAAGATTTGACAGTACACGCAGTGTTCGATATCTGCGGAGGGTGTGTTTGTTTATAAATCGCATACATCCCCTTCAAAATTATAATAAAAAAGAATCTCCTGCAAATAGCTGATAGTTATAGCAGGAAAAAGGCATTCGAAGGAGTTCAGTAACAAAAAGGCATGAAATGGAATGCCACATTCCTCCTCTTTGTGAGAAGAAATCTACCAGGCCCTCTGCTTTGACACCAGGCCTCTTTGGGAGATTCCACTACTGAGCGTCATTTCCATGGAAACGATTTCTGGTGCATATATTTATCAAGCAACATAAGCAACCATAGACCTATGATCCAGCGTCCATGTGAATTAGGTAGAAAGCAGGAAGACACTTCAGATTTATCTGTGATTCAAAGAACTAATCATAAGCAGGACACTCTTAAGACTCTAAAACCTGAATCTTTCAATCAACAACAAGTTCCTCATGTTAAGGATCCTTCTCTCTTGTTATAAACCTCTTGATTTAAGGAAAAAGTCAAAAGAAATAAAATTATCATTTTAAGGAATACTTTTATTGAGGAAAAAGAGTCAGGTTTTACTCAGGTTTCACTATCTATCTGTACCGTTGCACTTATGTCCTCTTATTGCAGATATGTCCTCTGACGTAATGTGATACAGTGGCCAATCATATCCTGCGATCTATCGAGCGACACGCGGCTTGGGACTGGTTAAGAGACTCCGTTGTAGTTATGTCTTCAAGCAAAAGTACTCATTCAAGGGGGTCGGGATAAGTGGAAAATTTGACCAGTATTTTCCGGTAACTGCTCTCAGGAAAACATGCTGTTCGCATGATCACTGCGAACCGGATCATTGGCCTCTCATATTGCTTTCCTTGAAGTTCAATCGTTCGTTAACGCAGAGTGATCGTATCGTTGTCATAACCTAAACTTGGAAGAACAATTTGCTGCGCGTGAATAACAAAGCGACTTTCGACCAAAGGATGCGTTATTGTTCACGTTTTATTTGCAGCCTTGCTTTATTTACAGTCTTCATTGCTCGACTTGCGACTTCAATGACAATATTTTAGCCACAAGCTAAGACAAAAGCACAATGTGGCGTCATATCACAATTGCTTTATTTTCTTTAATAGTTAAAGATCATAGATTATGGTTCGTCGACATAAAATTATATATTTTTGACACTTCACCTGATCTGCCGGAGGTGAGATCGAATGAGAAGTCCAAGTTGTGATTATTTGTCTGCGTCACGAAGTCTTCCTTCAATCACAGAAGTTTGGCCTTCAGTTGTTTATTTTGAGTACTGTTGGTTTTTGCCGTATCGCACTAAGCCCTCCGTTAAAAAAATTGAAGTAGTAGATTGTGATTTTATTGCGGTTCCGCTGATTTTAGCTGTTTTTTTTTTTAGTACTGTTTCTAAATTATTGTAGGATTTATGGCACTTTTGGGTGGATTTGTCCTATTTCACCCGATTTATGACAAATTCACACAATGATTAAATCGAAAATGGGGCTAAAGGTGGCTATGGCAAGTCAATAGGATAGAATCCACCTAAAGGATGAATTTCACAGAATTTATCCCGTTTTTCTAGAATTCATTGGAAAAAAAATGGAAAATCGGGTTGAAGATTGGATATGGCAACTTGAGATCTATTCCATTTGGAGAATAACTTTTCAAATTTTACCCTGTTTTTTGTCAAATTCACTGAAAAAAATGGAAAATCGGAGTAAAAATAGCATATGGGAACTTCGGGTATTATTCACTTGTAGCATGAATGCTCAGAATTTACCCCGTTTTTCTCGAATTCACTTATCAAATGGAAAATCGGGGTAAAGATGGCATATGGGAACTTAGCATATTGCAATCACTTGCGGGATGAGTTCGCAGAATTTGCCTCGTTTTTCTACAATTCATTGAAAAAAAAATGGAAAATCGGGTTGAAGATAGCATGTGGGAACTTAGGGTACTATTCACTTGTAGTATGAATGCTTAGAATTTACCCCGTTTTTCTCGAATTCACTGATCAAATGGAAAATCGGGGTAAAGATGGCATATGGGAACTTAGCATATTGCTATCACTTGCGGGATGAACTCGCAGAATTTATCCCGTTTATCTAGAATTCGATGAGAAAAAAGCATTGAAAATCAGGTTGAAGATTGGATATGACAACCTAGGATCTATTCCATTTGAAGGATGAATTCTCAGATTTTACCCCGTTATTCTATCGAATTTTCAGGAAAAAAATGGGAAATCGGGGTAAAGATGGCATATGGGAACTTCGGGTATTATCCACAATTTACCTCTTTTTTTCTAAAATTCACTGATCAAATGGAAAATTTGGGTGAAGATGGCATATGGGAACTTACGGTATTAGCTACTTGCGGGCCAAATTCTCAAAATTTACCCCGTAATTCTAGAATTCATTGAAAAAAAGAAAAAAAATGCAAAATCGGATTAAAGATTGGATTTGGCAACCTAGGATTTATTCCACTTGAAGGACGAATTCTCAGAACTATGGGAACTACAGGTTCTATCCACTTGTAGCATGAATTCTCAGAGTTTACCCTGTTTTTCTGGAATTAATTCACTAAAAAATGGAAAATCAGGAAAGATTTGACATGAAAAAGTAGGTTATATTCCACTTGCGGGATGAATTCTTAGAAATTGTCCCGCTTCTCTAGAATTCACGAAAAAAATGGAAAATCTGAGCAAAGATGGCATTCGGGAACTTCGGGTAATATCCACTTGTAGCATGAATTCTCAGAGTTTACCCTGTTTTTTTTTTTTAATTAATTCGTCAAAAAATGGAAAATCGGGGCAAAGATTGAATATGACAACTTAGGATATATTCCACTTACGGTATGAATTCTCATAACTTACCCCGTTTTTCTGGAACTCATTGAAATAAAAATGGAAGATCGGGTTGAAGACTGGATATGGAAACTTAGAATGCATTCCACATACGGGATGAATTCTCAGAATTCACACCGATTTTCTGGAATTAATTAGAAAAAAACCGAAAATGAGGGATGTTCCGAGTTATAATTTATTCCAATTTTAAGATAAATGGACACAATTTAGCCCGTTTTCAGAATTCATTGAAAAATTCATTTGGCATGTTGGGATATATTCTTTTTATGAGATGAATTTTTTTTCTAGAATTCTCTGAAAATAATGGAAAATCGGGTAAAGATTACAAACCACAAGTTGGGATATGTTTCACTTGTAGGATGAATTGTCTGATTTTACCCCATTTTTACAGAATTCTTGGAAAAATGCAAAAAACCGGGACAACGATTGAATATGACAAGTTAGGATGTATTCCATTGACGGGATGAGTACTCAGATTTTACCCCGTTTTTCCAGAATTGACTCAACAAACGGAAAATCGGGGTGAAGATTGATTATGAAAAGCTAGGATGTATCCCACATGTGGGATTAATTGTCAGATTTTACCTTACTTGTCTCTAATAAACGAAAAAAATGGAAAATTAGGGCTAAAGATTTGATTTGGCAAAATTGGAAACTCGGAGTAAAGATAGCATATGTGAGCTAAGGGTATTATGAATTCTCAGAGTTTACCCCCTTTTTCTAGAACTAATCTATTAAAACAAAGGAAAATCTGGGTAAAGATTTGACATCACAACTTAGGTTATATTCCACTTGCATGATGAATTGTCAAAACTTATCTCGTTTTCTAGAATTCGTTGCACGAATGGAAAATCAGGGACAGATTGGACATTGCAAGTCATGATATTAACCACTCGTGGAAAGAATTGTCACGGTTTACCCCGTTTTTCTAGAGTTATTTGAACAAATCGGAATAAAGATTGGATATGGAAAAGTTATGATATTATCCACTCGTAGGTTGGTTCAGAAAATGGAAAATTAGGGTGAAGATTGGATTTGGCATGTTGGGATATATTCTACTTGCTGGATAAATTGTAAAAATTCAATGAAAAATGGGAAATAGCGGTTAATATTGGATATGTCAAGTGGGAATACATTACATATGCAGGGTACGAGCTATTTGATTGTTTTGATTTTCGAATGCGCTTAAAACATGGAAATGCATGGGAATGAACAGATATACCGCATTTGTAAGTTAGATCGCCGGAATTGCACCCTTTATTCGCGTAAAAGAATGTTGGGATGGGGGTAGGTGTCGGAAGGTTACCCTCGGGTGAAGTCAATAATTTTAGCGGTACATTGCAGAATCCCAGCACAAAGCCTAGAGATTATTGAACAAATATCACCGAGCCTGAGGAGATTTTTATCGCTGGAAAAGAGAATGTAGCCTTCCCTATGAAATATTTATCAGTCTGCAAGTTTTGATGCTATGTTTCACCACTGTGATGTTCTTATTGTTGAGACCGGTCTGTATATTACTCACACCCTTGGAATTTAAGTCAATTTAGCGTTAAAAAAAAGTTTTCAGACAAATGGAAATTTTCCCAGAAGT